AGTTACTCTGTATACTGCACAGCGAGTTTAGGCATAATGCTATCGGAAGGTAAATATTTTAAAGACTTTCTTCACTGTACAGTCAGTTAAGGAAAAAAAGCTTTTAGAAGGACTGCTGTGATGCTACAACTCCCAAAAGAAGAAAACAGAACAATGTCATATTGAAGAATACTATTCCTTTCTCAACAAACTTTTTGTTGAGCAATGGGTTAAACCCTTGGGCCGGCAAGACTGAAGACCGACATGTTGCAGGTTCGAATCCGGGGAGAGCACAGGTGAGCTCCCCCTGTCTGCTCCAGGTCCCCATGCGGGGACATGAGAGAAGCCTCCCACAAGGATGGTAAAACATCAAAACATCCGGGCAACGTCTCCTGGGCAACGTCCTTGCAGACGGCCAATTCACTCACACCAGAAGCGACTTGCAGTTTCTCAAGTCGCTCCTGACACACTTTTTGAGAACATATATTAGTGCCTTACTGATCTAGGTATAATCAATGGCATTAGTAAACAGCCAGTAAGGTAGTTCTCATATCTGTATTGCCAGGCCTTTTTAAAAATCTTGCCACATTTCAAACCACTATCTTGTTGCAATTCTGAAATAAATAATAATGTATTTATTCTATTTATTTACTATATTTATACCCCACCCTTCTCACCCTGAAGGGGACTGACTCATTTCACAATTTCATGCCACACTTCAACAACATACAAACAAAACAATATATAAACAATACAACAGATAGAATATATAAATATAATAAAACTTTAAAACGTAGTACCTAATCCTGCCGCCACCATTAGTTGCTCCATTTTGTCAAATCCATATTTTGCACTACCCAAACGGCTGAGTGCATAACCAAGTTTTCACCCTTTTTCTAAAAACCAGGTGGGATGGGACCAGTCTGATCTTGCTGGAGAGGGAGTTCCGCAGCCGAGGGGCCACCACTGAGAAGGCCCTGCCTCTCGTCCCCACCAATTGCACCTGTGCCGGAGGTGGGACCGAGAGCAGGGCCTCCCCAGAACATCTTAACATTCTCAAAGTTTCATAGGGAGAGATATGTTCAGATAGGTAAGTTGGACCAGAATGATCTAAAAACTTACAACCACACTGTTCTTGTCAATAATAATAATAATAATAATAATAATAATAATAATAATAACAACAACAACTTTATTTTATAGCCCGCCTCCATCTCCCCGAAGGGACTTTGAGTGGCTTACAAAGGGACAAGCCCAAAAAACCAGATTAAAACAACACAATAAAAGAAAACCAAATAAAATCAATGAAACAAAATAAAATTAACACATCACAATAACAAAACATAACATCATAAAAACAATTTAATGGCTGAACGGTAATAAATACTGAGCTCGGAGGGCTCAAAGTTTGTGCAATAGTTTCTAGATAGGGCTAAGGGAACGTGCAAATTCAATACATATAGGGCTGGGAGAGTTATGTCCTTTGGCAATTAAAATGTCAGGATTATAGGGTGAAGGACCGTCCTAAAGTACAGAACTTTGGGAAGTTTGGGGCCAATTACCTGGTGAACTGTTTGGTCAAAGGCACAGTGGAACATCGATGTTTTTAGGTCCTTATGAAAGATGGACAGGGTAGGTGCCAGTCTAATCTCCTTGGGCAGAGAGTTTCAAAGCCAGGGGGCCATGACCGAAAAGGCCCTCTCCCTCGTCCTCACCAAACGCACTTGAGATGGAGGTGGAAGTGAGAGAAGAGCCTCCCCATAAGATCTTAGGGCTCGTGCTGGTTCATAGCGGAAGGTGCGATCATGAAGATAGGCAGGAGAATGTGGAGCCAGGTACCATTACATTATATTTTTGTCAAGTTCATTTAAAATAACTGTAAGAAAAGGCTTCCAAATCAATAGAAGATATGGCAGACCTGCCTGTAGGTTTACAACGTAGAACACACGTCACAAGCAAAGAAGACAATAAGGAATGCTTTGCTATTTTGCATCAAATCAGCCAGTTTTTAATTAACTTTTATTACTTGATTATAGTTTACATCCCCCCTCTTTTTTTTTTTTTTTACAATAGTTGTACTCAAATGAAGAGAATGAAAAATCTAACCACCACTCAAACTGGAATGGTAAAAGTGTTTACCAAAGCCTTCAAACCAGGCAGAGATACGGAGGGGGGGGGGGACTCATCTTCCCAGGAAACATCACTGTGCCATGATTACCAATAACAACAACAACAACAACAACCACAACAACAACAACTTCTTATACTCTGCCACTATCTCCCAGAAGGGACTCTGGGTGGCTTACAAGAAGGATAAGCCCAAAACGTACAACAAAATTTGCAACAAAAACAAAAACACAGTTTAAAATGTAATAACATGTGACAGTCAATTATGACACAATTAAAACAGCAAAGCATAAAAACAGTGTTAAAACTATATCAAATTAGCTTGGCGACCACTGACCAGGAATATAATGAACATGATCAGTCTGGGGGCTCTCTAGTCTGATAATGTACATTATATTCCATTATAAGCCAAAAACCCTATAAAGAGGCAAGTAAAAATACTGACTACCGACTATGACATGGAAATTTATCACAAGAAAGCAACCCCCCCCCCAAAAAAAAACACCTGCAAAACCTAAATTCTAGCAGGTCTCTTTAAACACACTAAATAAGTTCTCAGACTTTTTTCAATCCAGTCCTACATATTTATCAGCCAATGTTTAAGTAGTTTCTTCAACACAGTATTTCTAGAACATTTGCCATATTTACTTGCATCTAAGGTGTACCTTTTTGGGTAAATGACCATGCCAAAATTAGGGTATGATTTAGATTCAATGGTGCATTACAGGAGTGTGGCAAAAGGTCCCTCCCCAAGACCATTCTCCTTCGCCTCCCAGATGGGAGACAGTAAAATAATAATAATAATAATAATAATAATAATAATAATAATAATCTTTATTTGTACCCCGCCACCATCTCCCCAATGGGACTCGGAGTAGCTTACATGAGGCCAAGCCCAAACAACAATTACAATAAAGAACAACCGAACGCAAACCAAAAACGCCAACAATAAACAACATCATAATTACATAAAACACATGAATATACAACAATATAAAATTACAATAAACGCAAACACAGTGACAATGGGCAGGCTACATGTAATGGTTAAAAGAACTAATTAAAACTGGTTAAAAACTTGGGTGAGATAAAAGAGAAACAATTTTTTTGTGGAGAAGGGCCCATTATAGTGGGAGATGTGGAATCAAGCTTTCCCACAAGGGGGGGAAACGTATATTCCAGTGACAGAACATTGCACATGAGGGATAATGTGGGATTGAATACCTATTCAACAAAGGCGCAACGGAAGAGCCAGGTTTGAGGTTTTTTTAAAAAGTTTCTAGGGTAGGGGCTTTCCTAATTTCTGCAGGTAGAGAATTCCAGAGTCAGGGAGCCACTGAGGAAAAAGCTCTCTCCCTTGTGCTTACAAGGCGAGCTTGTGAGAATGGCAGGGGTGAAAGAAGGGCCTCTCCAGAAGATCAGAGGGCCCGAGATGGTACATGGAAATAGCTCCCTTTTCCTCCCCAGCCATTTGTTGCTTTTGCAGCAGTAGAAGTTCAGGCAGGAGGCGCCCGTCATCCGGCAACAGCTTCTTTCAGGATGCTTTGCTTGCCTTCCCTGGCGAATCAGCTGCTGAACGACGAGCTCCATGCACCCCTTCTCCTCCTCCTCCTCTGCTCTGCCAAGCAGAGGAGGAGGGGCAGCAGTAGCGTCAGCGTCTTGGAGCAGGCAGGCAGGCAGGCCAAGGGGCACTACTGCTACCTCTCCTGTGCACCCACCCTTTTTAACCTTCTTTCTGTCGTTTCCACCTTTTCCTCCCTTTCTTTTCTCCTTCATTTCCTTCTTTCTCTTTCCCTTCCACCTTTCCCTCGCTCTTCTCTTCCTCCTTTCTATCCTCGTCATCCATCTCTCTTCCTTTTTCTTTCCTATCTCTGTCCTATCCTCTTTCCACTCCTCTTTCTCTTTCTTTTCTTTCTTCCCTTACTGTCTTCTTTCCTTCTCATCATCCTACTTTTTTTCCTTTTCATCTCTCATCCTTATCTTCCTTCCCTCTTCCTTCTTCTTCATTCTTCCCATCTTTTCCTCCCTCCCTCTTTTCCTTTTCTTCTTTCCTTACTTTCTTTCTATCCTGCATCTATCCTTTCTCCCGTCTCATCCTCCTTTTTTCCTTTTCCTCTATCATTCATTCTTTTCTTCCTTCTTTTCCTTCCTTCCTTCTTTCCCTTTTCCTTCCTTTTCTTTCTTCACATCTTTTTCCTCCTTTCTCCCCTTCCTTCCTTCCTTCCTTCCTTCCTTCCTTCCTTCCTTCCTTCCTTCCTCTTTTCTTACCTTCTTTCTATCTTCCATTCACCTTCTCCTTCCTTCCTTTCTTTCTTTCTTTCTTTCTTCTCGTCCTCATTTTTTCCCTCTTTTCCTTTTCTTCCTTTTTTTCCTTCCCTCGTTCTCTCTTTCTTTTCTTTCTTCTCATCTTCTTCCCACTCTCCTTACTTTCCTTTACTTCCTTCCTTTTTCCTTCCCTTCTTTCTATCCTCCATCCATCTTCTCCTTTTTTCCTTCTCATCTTCCCTTTTTTCCTTTCCTTCCATCTTCTCTCCTTCCAATTTCTTCCCATCAAGGGTTACCTGATTCTCTGGTGTTACTTTCTATTTGGGGACATAGCACTTTTTATTTCTAAAGAAGGAATACTAAGCGCACAGCAACTGTAATGCACACCTTTTGGGGGCCAAATTACAAAGAGTGCCCTTTTTGCTGCTGCGCATTACATTCACCAACAAAGACTTTTTATGGTTTTGAAAACTGAGGTGTGCACTAGATAGGAGTAAATGCAAGTATCTTTCAAAAATAGGCTCACAAGAGAAAGGCAGATGAAAGGATGACAGCATGGAAAACGTTAACAGGTCTACTCAGAATTTTTAGAAAAGTGGCTAAACTGCTGAGGAAATGGCATTTCTTACCTGTCTATTCCGTTCGTCCATTATTCTTGTGATCTGTATTTTCTTCCTCCCCATGTTAACAGCTTCCTACTTTATAATCCAGAAGCACACGTAAAAAAAAATCCACAATCTTTGTATCCTAGCACATGGTAGTCAGTTCCGTTTTACTACTAAAGCCTTCATGCAACGCTGTCTCAAAAAAAACCTGAAATTGAGAAAAAAATAGAATTAAGTCTCTGATGTCAAAAGTACAGTACATCGTTCACATCATAAATATTTACACATTAGAAGTCATTTGTAAGACAAACCATCCTCCCCTCTAATCAGACTGACATTTGCTTGCATGATGCTTCACTGTACCTTGCCTAAAGCACTCACATCATGGAGTCAGTCCATGCAACTCAACACAGAAGCTATGTCAAAGTTTGCATTCATCACCCAATGGTTTAGAACAAACACAAACCAACAGCTCATTTTTGAAATCCTGGGCTACTCTTCAGTGGCAAAACAAAAAAACAAAAACAAAAAAGAGCACATAACTTTTAAGAAGATACAACTTCAGAATAGTGTGAATTGTTCTACTTTACAAGCTCAATTACTTCATGTTCAAGATATAATATTGAGCAATTCGCAATACAAAAGCAAATCTCTTTCTAGCTTTTTCCTCCGAGAGCCTTGCCCCATTTTCCATTATCCTTATTTTCTTTTTCCCCTGATTAACAGTATAGATTAAAAGACAAAACACTACTCAAGAATTAATATCTTCTGAATGCTTTTGAAGAATTTCATCTTGAGCTATCTCCACCCAGCCTTCTTCCATTCTCCCAAAACACTATTTTACAGGAACCTACAGATTGAGAAATAGCTTAAACCAGGGGTCCTCAAACTTTTTAAACAGAGGGCCAGGTCGCGCTCCCTCAAACTGTTGGAAGGCCGGATTATAATTTGAAAAAAACATGAGTGAATTGCTATGCACACTGCACATATCTTTTTGGAGTGCAAAAACACTTAAAAACAATACAATAATTAAAATGAAGAACAAAGTTAACAAATATAAACTTATTAGTATTTCAATGGGAAGTGTGGGCCTGCTTTTGGCTGATGAGATAGGATTGTTGTTATTGTTGTTGTGTGCTTTCAAGTCATTTCAGACTTAGGCTGACCCTGAGCAAGGGCCGGGTAAATGACCTTGGAGGGTCGTATCCGGCCCCCAGGCTTTAGTTTGAGGACCCCTGGCTTAAACACTCATGGTAATATTCATTACTGTAAAACTTGCAATATTTCACACATCACTAACAAACCAACAGCTAATACAAACACTTCATTATGGATTGTATGCTTTCCCATCATTAGCTTGTTCAACCATCCACATCAGTTGAAAAAGAAGTTTACAAACAGAGAAGCTTGCTTGTTTGCTGCTCACGCTTTTGAAAAAAGATCACAGAAGAGGTGTGTTGTGTTTTTTTTTACAATGAGAGATACAATAAATTAAAAAATAAAAAATGGAAAGACTGGAGACCCCACATCTTTGTTCTCTGCATTTATCTGCATTTTTGTATGTGCACGAGTAACTCAAGTAACTCAAGGCACTTGTCAAGGTGCCAGATAAATATCTATAATGTGTTGTTTGAGTTTCAAAATGACTAAACGCAGAAGCCCTCAAGTGCAAGTGTAGACCAGAGCACACAGGACAGGATCAAAAGCTAAAGATGAGAGATCACCAACAAGAGGATGCAAGAAACTCTGAAAAATTTGGTTCAAATTAGATGCCATGTTCCAGTCTTCAGAATCATCCAAAGGGTCATAACACTGTCACTTGTTCACACATTTCCTTGCTTACCATACTCTGCAGTAGCGTCTAAATCTAGAAACCTGTAGTTACCACCGTGTGCATATAAATGTGCATTGAAGTTGCTTGTCAACTTATGGGCAACCACATTCATTTCATAGGGCTTTCATAGGCAAGGGATGAGCAAGCTTAAACAGAAATTAACTGCCAACTCAGAGCTTCCAAAACATGGCTCAGAAGCAGTACTGGCTAGTACTGGGCATAATTCCAATATCTCTGTGAGCTAGAGTAACAAAAAGCTGGGGGGAGGGGATCTGCATATGGAAAGCAAGGTGATAAGAATGGGCCCCCACAAATTCTCCCCAATCAATAAGTCTTCAAGGGTGAATCTGAAGATGTAATTTCAAGAGAAAGAGGAGTTGGGTAAGCAAAAATAAACATAATCGAGTGCTCTAAATTACAATGTAGATACAGAGTGAGGAAGCATAACTTCCTTTTTTTCAAAACTTAATAAAACCCAGTGTATGAATCAGAAATTTTTATTTTTTTTATAATGTATGCGCATACTTAAAATTTTGTTTGATGTAGTTTTGAAGATCAAATTAAGTAGGTGACATCCCCCATTCTCCATAAACTGAGTAAACCAATTTCTGGCGTTTGTCGTGACTCTTGCCAGCATAGCAGGCGTTATGTTGGCAATTTCTTCCTGGATGTTGGACTTAAAATCTTGTAGGGTCCTTGGACGGTTCACATAAACACGGGATTTCAAAAAACCCCTTAGAAAAAAAATCACAAGGGGCCAAATCTGGAGAGCGGGCCGGCCACTCCAAATGCGCTCGAAAAGTAGGCCTCAACGGCAAAAGCACACTCCTCACTGTTCCAATGCATGATGGTGACTGAACTGTGTCAGGACAAAACTTTATACTCCCGCCTCTCGAACGAGACCACTAGCGTTCTGTTACATCTTCAACTGACTGAATGGCACGCATTTTAGAAAAGGACGTTCTGCTGCCTCACCCTGTATAAATCTCAACATTTCAACAAATGGACCACTCTTAGATCTTTCAACTGCAATATTCCTTACTGAAGAAAAGTATGCATGGGCTCCAAAGGGAAAAACAATCTCAATAAGAACACACAAGCCCTAATCACACCCAAAGATACACACAGAGACCCAAGTAGAACAGAAGAAGTAGATCAGTCAAGATGCTTCCTTTTGGGGGGTTGGGGAACAGCAAAGCACCAAGGACAATCTAGGAAAGGCATGGACAAACTTGGGCCCTCCACTAATTTTGCAAGCTCGGCTGATTCATATGTTGGAAATGTAGAATGAAAGACATGAACCAAGAGACATACGCGCGACATGGGAGCTCCACTGTCATAGTTACATCTCCCACCACCACCTGTCAAGCAATGCAGCTCTTGTAACATGTCCATGTGGTTGGAGAGCAGCGAGATCAATGGAAATGTGTCAGGACATTTGCACCATACACGCAACATATTTCACAAACAAAAACAAGTGACATAAACACCACTCGGGTTGCAGCTACACCAGGCACGGGCAAGCTCCGGCCCTCCCTCCAGGTGTTTTGGACTTCAACTCCCACAATTCCTTCAGTACCTGGACAATATCCTTCAGGCCCTGGATGACATACTCATAGCACAAGCATGGGCCAACCTGCACTCTCCAGGTGTTTTGGACTTCAACTCTCACCATTCTTAAAAGATTCTGGCCCCTTTCTTTTTCCCCCTCAGCCTCTTAAGCAGAAAAGGAAAGGGGAAAGGAAAGGACCTGAGTCCAAAACACCTGGAGGGAGGGCTGAAGTATACCCATGCCTGGTCTAGGACCTTCTGATTCTTTGGAAGGGTAAGGGCTAATCTACAGAAGGCACATACACACACACACACACAAAAGCAACAAACTGCCCACTTTTCAAGTGCTTCTAGAGTCCCCAAATTTCCCTAGGCAACTTTTAAATCCAATGCTGGGCCCGTGATCAAGAAACATGCCTTGATCTTTATGGCATGTGTAAAGCAAGAGCAACAACATTTCTTCTTGATCCTGATCTAGCAAAGACAAAACAACCTGTCATTCTTTTCTCTCACATTCAGTGAGATAAGCAAGACTACCCCTTCCTACCTAGGATGAGTTCAAGGTTATGCTGACAAATTTGAGTTTGTTATCAAAGCCAGTTGAAACTGCAAGGCCCTGATCCCAACTCGTATCTGTCAGCAAACTGAATGAGACCAATGAGGCATGTCGAGAATCAACGGTCTTCTAAAACTTTCTCTTAAAGGGCCACATTTTTACCAAAACCTACACCTAAATATCAGAGTAACCTGCTACAAATACCCTAACCTTTCAGCCACACATTGGAAAGTAGTACGAACTATCCCATAAACTGCATCAGAATTCATAAGCAGTGACAGCAAAAGGGGATTAATCACAGCCTCCATTTCACAATGTATTCACTCTCAATTGAGGATACAGGCGTGATATTCTGATGCAGCACCCAACGGGTCAATGGAATACCACTAAAGCAAGAGATTCTGTTTGAATTTTCCTTTGGCATCCAAGTTCTCCTTGCTTTGGACTATCATTAAAATGCACAAGATATAGAGACACACCAAGGTATTATCATTTTGGAAATAACTAGTTTGGAAACAAAATACAGTGATACCTGCAAGAAGATCACACCTGTTTCCCTACCAAGAATATGAGGTCCTGGCTTATCATAATGGAGCAGGCTTCATTTTCCAAGAGAAGACTTCTAGCAAATGAACATAATTCACACTTTTACAACATACCCTTTTCAGTAAAACAAAAAGTTTCTAACCTATGAATAAGCATATCTCTGGGCTACTGGTACAGATACCTGCTAGCATTTGAGTTTGGAAAATGTCTATGATTCCCAAACAAATTAGCATAGCTGGAGCATCTTAATAACACACACAGAGAGATCGGGAGGGCAGTCAAGTTCTACCCAAGAGAAAGAATTAATTGCTCTAAATAATGAATACATTAGGCACAGAATGCAGAAATGGTTTTATCTTCTTTGCCATCTCTACGAAGGAAAGAGAATTCAGTTATGTGGTGGACTGAGGGGCATAACCACATAGTACATGTAAAGGGTATATTTTCGCTTTTCTTGCATAACACTTTGAAATTGCTATGCTTTTATAAGTCAAGCTTTGCCCTCTAAACTGGCGCTTTATCCCTGCCAGGTCAACGCCTTGGCTGAAATCAAACCCGGTTGGAGCTGCTTGCAAGAGAACAAAAATACTGCAGTATTACAGAGATATTCAAATCCATTTCTAACAAAATTAACACCTGGCAAAACAAAGAGGAAACGGGATTTCTTGTATTATTTTTTTGCGGTAAGCAACTAACTAGGTATGTCACTTGGAGGATTGAG